GAGAGAGAGAGTGAGAGAGAGAGAGAGACAGAGAGTGAGAGAGATAGAGAGAGAGAGAGAGGGAGAGAGAGAGAGAGAGAGCAGGATTAGTATTAGTCACTAAAACTCTATTATAGTAATAATAATACAATTTACTTTAAGGAATAACAATTCAGGTATACAGTAAACCTCTGTGGTACAGCATTTTATTTGACGAAAACTAAAACTAAAATGTCATTTTTGTAAAGGAATTGTTATATTTAATTCGATTGCATTTTGAACAATTAACTTTGATTATACAGTTTTTGATTATACATCTTTATTATTTCGTGAAACAGAATACAGAAAAGATTAAAACACATCACAGAATATGGGGGAAAATAATAGAGATTTCATAGGGCCTTATAACTGTTACGTTTTAATAAAATATTAAATTATAAAAGTTTTTTTGGACATGCTTTTTTTAATAAAAAAAAATTGAGAACTTGATTATACGTTAATTTTTTATATAAAAATGTAAGTTTCATTTTAAATTAAAATGTAATTCGGAAAAATTACAAAAACAGAAAACCAAGCATTTGGGAAAAAATACAAATATTTTACAGGGCCTTGTTGTTGTAAACATTAAAATATTAAATTATCAAAGTTTTATGAACATGTTGCACATGTTTTTGAAAATAAAAAACATTTTGTTTTTAATTAAAATGGAATTCTGAAAATTCAAACAGGAAGCACATAATTTGGGAATTTGTTTTAAATATAAAATGTACATTTAATTTTGTTTAATTTAATTAAAACTGAATTTTGAAAAATTAAAACAGAAAGCACAGAATTTAGGGAAAAATGTAAGAGATTTTATTGGTAAAATTTAAATAAAATATTAAATTCTCAAAGTTTATGAATTTGATTAGACATGTGTTTTAAATACAAAAATTTGTTTTTAATTTTGTGTAAATTAAATTTTTTTTATATATAATTATTTTTATTGAATTTTCACCGTAATACAAAAATAACAAGACTTGTGTAAATTAATTAAAATGGAATTTAGGAAAATTTACAGAAAAGCACAGAATTTAAGAAACATCTAAGAGATTTAATAGGGCCTTATTATTGTTAAAATTGTATTATAAAACGGAGAGTTCCGGTGCTTGATTCTGATTGGCTGAGCCGCGTTCAAAGCTGTTGTAAATGACTCTACAAAGTAACATACACCTTTGTTTACGTTTGTCTGTTGCTCGGCAACCACTTTGTAGCAACCACAACTGTTTCTGAGGAGCTACATTGTTTGGTGGAAGAATACTGTTTTTATTAATATCATTACACTTTATTTGCTCTGTTTTATTTTGTGAAACCTTACTACGTATATGGAATAACCGTTTTATAAAAGCAATAAGCCCCGTGAAGCCGTGGTTTACAGTGAATTTATAATAGCTAACTCCGCTTCACATCGTACCTAACAACGCCCCTTAGCTGCTATAAATTCACTGGTTTATAGTGAATTTATAACAGCTAAGGGGGTTTTAGGCACTCCGCTTCACATCGTACCTAACAACGCCCCTTAGCTGCTATAAATTCACTGTAAACCACGGCTTCACAGGGCTTATTGCTTTAATAAAATAGAATATTAAATTGTCTTTAACAGGTATTCACAGATATTTGAAACTGCATAATATTTCATAATTTTTACAGTTTTTCTCGTATTTTTGATCAAATGAATGCAGCCTTGGTGAGCAGAAGAGACCTCTTTCAGAAACATGCTTTTACAAGTTTTTAACCGTACCAGAGGTGTGCAGGAAAAATGATCAACGTTCAGAGGATCCACTTCCTGTTCCAGATCCAAACTATTCACACTGATACTCCTGATGAACACACAAGAAAGAGAGACGCAAACAAACATCATTAAACACAAAACACACTGACCGAAGTGTCTGTAGACAAACAACAGAGATATCAAATATTTAAAGATACATATGTGACCCTGGAGCACAAAACCAGTCAAAAGGGTCAATTTTTTGAAATTGAGATGTATGCATCATCTGAAGCTGAATAAATAAGCTTTCCATTGATGTATGGTTTGTTAGGATAGGACAATATTTGGCTGAGATACAACTATTTGAAAATCTGGAATCTGAGGGTGCTAAAAAATCTAAATATTGAGAAAATCATCTTTAAAGTTGTCCAAATGAAGTTCTTAGCAATGCATATTACTAATCAAAAAT